ACAAAAAAATCTAGTTTCATAATTTCTGCAGTTGCTAAAATGTGAAGCTTTGGTACCACAAGGCGCTCTTACCATTTTTACCTCATGAGAATCAAGAGCAGCTAAATAAATAATTTTAAAAAATCCACTATATTTGGCACATTTTTCATCTTTTCTTGGCGGGAATTTGCAATTTTCCAACCTTATTTGCAGAGTCAGAGAACAATCGAATTCCTACAGAGGCTGAAAGAAGAGAGAGCTGGTTTAGAAAGACGAGACAGAGCGACAGAGAGATAAAGCAGAGGTAAAGAGAGAAATGTGTGTGTTTCATTTCTGTGATTTTCCTGTGTGAGAAAACAGAAACATTCATGTCCTTCTGATAATCACCAGAGAGGAAAAACTTTGTGAAAATCACACAAACGCTGCATTTAATTCTATGATCGTGTTGACTTTAGTGTTCTAGTGTTTGCAGCATTTTTCCACAAAGCTCCTCTGTGTGTGGGCAACATAAGCATTTAAATAGGAGTGGAGGTTTTTCTTATGTTAAAGCTTAAATCAGGAGATTCAGCCTGAACATTTCATACAAAATATAAAACACATCCCCCTGTGGTAGCACTATTTAGAAAAAAGTGACAGTCAACATAAAGGAACCTTTAAAAGACACTTTTTAAAACACTGATGAGCCAAAACATTGGGACCACCAGTCTATTAACCTGTTAGTACTCTCTGTGTGCCTAAACCAGCTTAACCTGCTCATTTCTCCCAAACCCGACATAAAACCCCGCAAAGCTGGTTGTTCGTGCAGACTGAAACAATTATTCAGGGTAAGAATTCGACTCTATCCCAGACTAATTAGTCTAACCATATGCGTTATTTAGGCACCATATCTTGTTTCTCCTGAGTGATAAATAGAATTCACTTTCATGATATGTTTGTGTCTCCTTTTGGCTGTAAATTACAATCAATAGAAGAGTGAAGGGAGGGTGGAGAGAGTGTGCATGCATAACTTACAGCTTTTTTTTAGGATATAATTATTAAAGTTATCTGTGATACTAGTAGGGATATGGAAACTCCCTTAAGGTTGAAATTTGTTTGTCTTGTTATACAGATGAGCTGCACAGTCTGTGTTTCAGGATAAGCTAACATTACGAAGTTGCAACAATCAGAGTAGCTGCTGCAGCAGAAGCAGGTTTCCATGCCGTGCTTTGCAGAGAAAAGAGTGCTGGCATGCCAAAGTCCCCCAAATGCTACACTCACCCTGCAGAAAACACTGGCTGGAGACGGCGGCACAACCAAAACGATTGTAACTGTGTCCAATGATCTTGTCGTCTTCACACAGGCTTAAATTATTTATTTAGGGAGTGAGTTTGCAATTGAATGTCAGTTAAGCTGTTTATGATAAATCACAGTTAACTTTGGTAAAATGTTAAAAATCACAAATCTGTTGCTGAGCTACATACACGGAAAACCTAATTTAAGAAAACTTCATATTAACTATTTACAGCCACAGTCCAGCCAGAAGCTCATACATATTAAATAGAAACTCAGATGGTCCAAATAGTGACATAGTTGATTGCAAAATGACGACATAACCTGTCTTTTATATAGAAACATAAGCAGAGAACAACTAAACGGCAGCCAGTGAATCAGATCCTTGATTGCAAACAGATGTGTCGGAGACAAGTTTGCAAGTTTGGTGCAAAATTACACCAATTATTTGCAGACCTTCTCCAGTGACTGCATTCAGTCCGAGTTGGACCTCGATTGTTTGGAGACAA